ATGACTATGTTATTGTTACACTGGTTTAAATTTTGTGGCAAGGATTACAAAGGAACAAAGAGCATATAAGGAAAAGAAGAAAAGAGAAAGCTGGGCTAGACAAATCTTTATTGAAATTTGGCTGTAAAGGCTGCATGTATGTACAAAAATATACTTGTTGGAGGTATGTACAAAAATATACTCCTTGATGAATCCCAGTAATTATTTTTAAATGATTATCCACTTTTGATTTTAATCTGTGCTAAAATATCTGGAATATGTTAGGCCTTTTTGACTTCCTCATCTATAAATTCTTTTGTCTCAAGGAAGCTTGTTTCTGTGAGTCTCAATCAATTGTCCTCTTTGGTCAATTTACAAGATAACACTACAGAGTCCATCTGAATACACAAACAGCATGTATGAGAGTTAATTAAGGAAAGTATTGATGGAAACATAGTTTGTTTCTGAAGTTTACCAACTGAAATGAATATTAATCCCATGTCCTGCAAAATAACAGACTTGACACATCTATTTCCTGGGGTAACAAATTATATTTATTTTTGAAATATTATTCAAAAAACTTTACTTGACTCGATAAATGTAACTGCCTTGATGTTATCATCCATAAACATTTTTTTGTTATGTGAGAGACTATACTGGTATCTAGGCAATGATATAAACTTATAGTAGGTTATCAAAGCATAATAGAGGGTGGTGCCACCAATACACAACTCAGTTTGGCAAGGTAACCAATTGTGCATCTGCCTGCACAGAGAAGTAAATCTTGTAGATTTTATGTATTCTTAAATTTACGTTTTCCATTTGTTCATCAAAGCAAATGAAAGCAAATATTTATTGTTCAAACTTTCATTTTCTGTACCATTACATTTTCTTAATAATATCTGGAAGGCATTTCTTAATGTTAAATTAAAATGTTAGCAAGAAGCTTACATATGTCTGACCTAAACTGGAAGCTGAGGAAGTGAGTCCCATTGCAGTGAGTAATATTTTGTGCACTAAAGAGAGGATTTATTACTAAACTTAAACATTCACAATGAGTGATGTCACCCTCATTGGCTGACATATACAGCTTTTTCTGGATTTTCACTTAGCTATAAGTTCAGTAAGAATTTTTCATATATCTTCTGTCAAGAAAAATAGAGTAATCTCATCAAAACTTGGCAGAGCAAGAATTTGAAGTGTTGTTATTTTTTGACTATTATAGTAAATGAATGACAGAAATAATACATGTTGTCATGACTGTTATTTCTTTGCTTTTGAGATAGGAAAATTTTCTTTTGTAATTGGGTTATTTTAGCTAAACTATTTGCATATAATTGTTTATACAATTGACTCCTAAAAATACATTCAGGGAAATCTTAAGTCATTATTAAGAAAAAGTGCTTTGCAAAGATATAAACATATGATGTGAAGCTTCATAAATATCCTCAGTCTGTATCCTGATAAAATAAGTAGAGAAAGATGAACAAATACATAAAATTTATTTTTTAGCCCTCAAAAATCTATGAATGTGCATTGTATTTATTAGAATTCATATTTAGGAAAAAATGCTGTGAAAGGTACAGTTTAAATTGATGTTCCTATAGAAATCATGTTGCCATAGAAAGTCACTTTCCTGACCAAAGACGTGATGCCTAACTTCTAGAACAAATTATTACCGATATCATAGGTAACAAATTAATAATAACATAAACTGTCTTTTACTTGGAAGACTTTCCAAAGATATACACGCCAACTAAACAGAGTGGTGCAATAGCTAATTGTACATCTAATTAATGAATTAAATAATCAATAGAGGTGAGTGTACAGGTCAAGGACAGAAGGTGGGACAAGAGAAAACAGCCAAAGTTCCCCTGGGACTGAAGGTCAAACAGTTTCGAAGATGGATCCAGGACTTGGCAAGGCTTCATGGAAGAAGCCTGTGGGCAGATGGCATGAGACAGTTTACAAATCACTGCTGGTGGTGTCTTTAATACTGTAGATATTTTAAAATCTTAGATGCCCCATTATGTTATAGATATTCATGTATTTTTTGTCTGTATGTGTGATGATTCCCTTCTCTTTACCTAAAAGATATTGTGCTTTAGTTAGGTATTATTCCGTTTCCATTTTTGTTCTCAGTAATCCAGTTTGATGCTCCTACAAGCTGTTTGATATATTATGGCATTGATTTAATGCTATTTACTCTTGCCTCCATAAGTATAATAGAATCTGGAAAGTGAGATTTTTTTTTTTTACTTCAATGACTATCTAATAACCCTAAAATCCCTGCTATTTCCAGGGCTACTTCGACTGCCACCACATATACTGATGGTTAATGATAAGGGAGCAGAGCATTCAGCCAGTGTGAAGCAAAAACATTCCTGTCAAAACTTACTTGCTAGCCACCACTGCCACTAGATGCCAAGTGAATGCAGCTAATTCACATCTAGAAACCCAATTTCCAAAGGAGTCCATGTTGTGTGATTTTTATCCTCCTAACCTCTTGAAATAAGAGAGTAAAATGATGTATGATAAAACAAATTCAAGCAACTACCAGTTGAGTTCGTTTCTCTGGTTGTTCCCCAGTGACTTTGGAGTGTCTCATCCTTGAATCCCATGTCCCTCCACACTTGGCGATAACTGCAGTTCTACCTTGGTCTGTTAAGAATTATGCAGGTGGTGGGAGGATGGGGGAGAAGTGTGCCTCACCTTATGGAACAGTATTGTTGACTAAATTGCAATTCCTTTATCTCCTCTCAGTCAAGTTAGTGTGTATCTGCAAAGGCGATAGAAAGGAGTTCTTACATATGCGTATTCTGAAGAAGGATGTTACCCTTACTGAAAAACTTATTCCAAGATATGTTTCATCAATCATGAGAAAAATACAGAGACATCCTTATTAATGGAGAATAAAGACTTCTGGGATTTTTCTAATTCCTCATGTGAATAAAGAGTTGTATTATTCTAACTACAGTGTTTGTCAGAAGATAATTGTGTCAGTTTGAGTCCTTTATCACTGTGACACTGATAGACTTTCTATCTCCAGTTGGAGGTATGTTCATATACAGATTCTTGCCTCACTTTTGGGCATTTCCAAAGTGTCTTCGTATTCCAGGTTACAATTCTCACAGAGATGCAAGAAGAGTCCAAAACTACCAAGGCAGACATAGAATTGCACCATTGAGCTCTGCTGTTGAAAGCAAAATGAAACATCCAGCCACCACCACCACCCCTCTGGATCCAGCACCATAATTCAGCTATTATGAAGCCATGCTACCCCTGGATGCCCCAGCCAGCGATCAAGTATGGTAAGAATATTGATGATGGCCCATACTGATAAGACATTGGACTTCTCTACTAGGAAAATTTGGTTTGGGAACTCCTAGCTTTCTGGCTGAGCTTTTCTTAGAGCTGTACTATAGTCTTAGACTCTACCTGCCCAATTCTCCTTCTTTCTCTTTCTCATCAAAAACATCAGATCTGCATTGCTGTCTGAAGGATTTCTCTGCCTGCTCCTGCTTCCTCCACTTTATTCTTTGCTGTTGTTTCCAACTGAAAAGTCTCTTGAAAGTCTCCTCCCATCTTGCTGTCTGCTTTTCAGATGACCTAAATGAATACTTTAAAAATTATAATTGGTGAAGCCCCTTCTCTACTGAAAATAGAAAAATTGGCTGAACATGGTGACTGGTGACTATAACCCCAGCTACTCATGAGGCTGAGGCAGGACAATCACTTGAACCTGGGAGGTGGACGTTGCAGTGAGCAGATATCATGCTCCAGCCTAGGGGACATAGTGAGACTTCATTTCAAAAAAATAAATAAATTGTTTTAAAGATGATGAACATGGGATTATCGCCTCACCTAAGAAGAGGAGTGAGAGAAATTAAATAAATATAGAGAAGTGAAGTTATTTCGCTAGAAATTTTTAAACATAATGTCATGTAGATTCTGAGATAAAATCATAGTAGAAGACAAGTTAGAAATGGACTACTTAGAGAGCTTTAAGAAAAGAGTCAACATCTAGGTACATATCAATAATGGCTAAATCTATGAGCATTCTCCATGAATGATGAAACTCCATCTTTGTTGCAGCCATGGAATTGTGCTGTTGAATTTTTGATACTACCTCCTGGTCCTGTCCAGGACAAGTCTTAAATGCGTTAGCCCTCATTACAGCTTAAATACACCCAAAGTTCCTGATCGACATTCACTACATGTGTTTGTAAATAAAAGCATTTGAGTTTCAATTATGGAGCAGTTTTATTGTTATGGAGACTATCTGAGCTACATTTGTTATTTCTGTAAAAGTAAGTTACTAACCCACATTTATCTATTAACTTTCTGCAATAATTGTAGTATAATTTGTGAGCTTATTAAAAATGGGATTGTTTTTTAAATATTTGGAAACTTATTCTATCTATAAAATACAATAGCTCTGATAGGAAATATTTTGAATAATTATATATTTAAAGTATAGTCACTAAGATAAATCAAATACATTTCAATTCTTAAATTTTTTTGTTAGATAACGATGTTATAGTTATGTAAACATATAATTTCTGTGATAGGTTATATTTGTTTTTTTCATCCTACTCCCTTAGTTCATCTTGAAGCTAATTCTGGGTGTGTAACTGATTCCAAAGACAATTTCCCTTTATCCTCAGTTTTAGCAACTCTTAGGAACCAAAACTTAAATATCTATTTTCTTAGGAAGGCTACCCTGATCCCTCTCTGAAGGCAAATATAATTATATTTCTTTTTCCCAATTTGTAATAAAGCTTTAAATAAAAATCTCTAGATAAGGAACTTGTTTCCTCTGGTTAAAATCTGCTTTCTTATTTACTTAACATTTGGTGTTGATGCAATGAATGACATATCAGACAAAGAATGACTCTGTCTTTCTCTGTTTTCTTTTCCTTCTACAGGTTGTTTCAGATGGATGTGGGTATTGTATGCCACAGCATCATGACATCTTGATTATATCTATCTGTCAAGACCGTTTTTAAGGACACTTTCACCTCAGAGTTCTTAGGTCATACATTATATTCTTGGTACTCCTAGCCTAAACTCTCATGCAGATGGAATACACTTTGCATTCTTGGTGGTCTGTGGTAGAGAGAATAAATTCCAGTTACTATGAGAGACATATTTATTTGTTGACTTCTTTCTTTTCTTAATAGTGGTTTGTATTAAAATCAGAAAAATCAGAAAATCAGAAAAAAAAACCTATTGAGATATTGGAAAAGCAATATTAAAACAGAGACTATGAATCTTATCCATCTTATAGAATATCCATAGAACAGATCTTAAGAATTTCAATAATGACCATAAGTTTGTCAAATAATACATTAGCTATTTATATTTGTAACAAAGAATATTTTTAAAATTTTCCACCAGATATATACGTACGTAATTTTCCTGCTAATATACACTAGTACCAAATTCTATACATTTGAACTTTCCCTTCCAAAATTTTTTTGACTTGGATATAGTTATTAGCAGTCATCTGTAGCAGGTCAGAGTGCTGGAAGAGCAGGCTGGTAACATCAGAATAAATGACTTATGTGCCACATCTGAGATGCCCTAGAGGCTGAGATTGTGATTCCCTTTGGCAAATAAACTAAAAATTTTAGAATTTTCAGATTACTGTTAGTTTCTTCTACCACTTAAATGTAAACAACAAATAATAGAGCAAACTTGACTATTATCTTGGTTTTCTAAAACAGATGTTGGCATGGCAGGTAATGCCCCTCCATTTGGATCCTGTTTTTTCTATCTGTGTAGCCATGGGGGAATACATGCCACAATTTATAGGCATGGCCATCTTATCTTAAAATAAATGTTCCTATCAGATGATCCCAGTATTCTGGGGTGGGATTCTGTGGTATTTTAATTAATTTATTATTACTATTACTGTTACTTTCATGTCTGATGAAGTGACAAAAAAGGAGCTCTACCTGCTTTGGTTGCCAAAATTAGCATGAATATTTTAAAATAGTATCAGAGGCTGATGAGCCGCTTGGTTTTTTTTTTTTTTGTTTTGTTTTGTATGAGACAGAGTCTCACTCTGTCGCCCAGGCTGGAGTACAGTGGTATGACCTTAGCTCACTGCAGCCCTACCTCCAGGGTTCAAGTGATTCTCCTGCTTCAGTGTCCTGAGTAGCTGGGATTACAGGCACATGCCACCATGCCCAGCTAATTTTTTGTATTTTTAGTAGAGACGGGGTTTCACCATGTTGACCAGGATGGTCTCGATCTCTTGACCGCGTGATCCACCTGCCCCGGCCTCCCAAAGTGCTGGGATTACAGGCTTGAGCCACCGCGGCTGGTCGCTGCTGTTTTTTATTCAAGAGTCTATAGTTCTTTTTCCCTTTTTTCTTATTTTCTACATACTTCCAGGAGGCATAAATGTGGGCTGAATGGAATATTAAGATTTCTTCCAGTTCTATGATTTTATAAATTATTACTTGATTGCCCTATATACTGACAATGACATAGATGAGAAGTTTTCCTGATTTCTTTCCTTTTTTTTTTTTTTTTTTTTGCTTCTCTTTCTCCTGGGAAAACAATACGTTTTCCCCAGATGACCATATCTTACTGTAGTAAAGAGTAATTAAAATATTCAAAAGCAAAGTGTCACTGGCTGCCAAGGCTCTTAAAAATGCTCAAACATATTGTAAATCTGTAAAGATTATCTTTTCTCATTCTTCATTCAACACTAAAATATTAATCCTGATCATGGTGTCAATACATTAGTTTTAGTAGGAGTACTTTTAGATGCTTAGTTCAGCAAAGGATTGATATAAGACACTATCATATCTATGAAAATCTGAGAATCATAACTTTTCTTCCTGTTTTAAATGCATGCTTAGATAGCTAGAAATATTTTAAAACTGTTGTCAGTCTTATTATGTTTAGTAAAAAACATACCTTTCTCTGGATACATATACCTTTATTTGGGAAATATAGATGGAATCAGTGATATACCTGTTGCTGAGCACATTATTGTATCATTGATGCTTATATATTTCAAATTATATGCATATTCTCCCCAGGGTGATTAGATCCCTTCTACAGTTAGGGCAATGAAGGGTTTATTTGCCTGAGGGGACACAGGGAACCATTTAGGAGAGTGAGGCAATTAAGCAATTACATAACGTTTTGAAAACATTCAATACTTCCCAACGTTTGATTTGTACTTCTGGAGAACTGCTTTTCTCATACTAGCAGGTTAGACTAGTTAGAATCCTCACACACCCCTTCCATCAGCCTTTTTTTCATGACATTATACTTCATTTTACAAAACGCATTTTTCAGAGAAACAAATGCTTACATTGAATTTTGAAGTTTAATAATAAAGGATTCGGATGTTTTATTTAAAATAATTAAAATTATTTTTTGAGAACTCATGGAAACAGAAAGGGGAGTACTAAACACTGGGGTCTATTGGGGGGAAAAGGGGAGGGCCAGTGGGAGGGGGAGGTGGGGAGGGATAGCCTGGGGAGAAATGCCAAATGTGGGTGAAGGGGAGAAGAAAAGCAAAGCGAACTGCCATGTGCGTACCTACGCAACTGTCTTGCATGCTCTGCTCATGTACCCCAAAACCTATAATCCAATAAAAACTTAAAAAAAAAATAAAATAAAATAATTAAAATTATTTTTTTAAAAGTATCACTTGTGAAAGTAACTATTACCGCCAAATTGTGTCTTGCAAATTGTGCCTATTTTATCACTACCATTCGCTTAGGATGAAAAGAAAAAAGTTTCGGGGGGTTGATAATCTATCATAAAACAAAGAAAAAAACTCTTGAGCCTGTATTACTTTTGGGGGGAAAAGGCAGGTGGGAAAAATAGATAAATAGAATTTGCAGTTAATCCTAAAATCTCATTACAGCTTAAAATATCAATCTCTAGAAATACAAAACATTTGCCAAAATAATTGTTAATATGTGCAACACTACCCAAATTAAAAGATGCAATTCTCCCTTCTACTAGTTCTCTTTCTATACAAATATAATTAGCAATAAAATTGAAGTCAATGAAAATAAGAAAAGACATAATGATCCCAGAAAATCCACAAAATGGATTATCATTTTCTAATAATTGTTAATAGACTGTATTTTTATGTGGTGGTGTGATAACATTTTTTCCTTGCCTTCTTGTAAGTTAGGAGCTGTGTTATATTTATCTTTGACAGGGCACCTAGCATCTGATAGGAATTCTAAACAGCAAATGATAGCATGATATTTTTATTATCTATGCCTCTTAATACCTCTGGCCAACAGAAAATAACACCATTTCCATCTTCCAGAGGAGAAAAAGAAATACAAAAGGAGCTTAAGTGGATAAATTACATAGCATGGACACAGAATCTGTTCTAAATAAATAGCCTATTATAATAGAAGTTGGCAGTCTTATAAAAAGAAAATAAAAGTTCTGATGAGGAAACCTGGTTTTGTTTCTCAGCTCTGACTACAAAAATAAACATTTTTGAGAAATTGCTGAACCCCCTTGTGCTTGCTTAATGTGAAATGAGAGGGCAAGATTAAAAGATCTCAAAGCTCCCTGTCAGTTCAGGGAGACTGTGAAATAATATGGTACCTTAGGCTTACTTACAACTTAGTATATGTCAGGCCGTGTCAGGCACTATCACTTTAAGAATTTTACATGGATTGTATAATCATCAAAATAATTCTGCTTATTAGACACTATTGTTAGTTGCATTTTATGAGGAAAATGAGGCTTAAGAATTGAAGTATTTTACACAGTGTCATATGCTTAGGGAGCAGCCAAGGTGAAGTTTTCAAAAAGGCAGACTGACTTCAGAGTCCACTGGCTTCAAGACAGTGCTTTCCATCCTCCTTCCAACATTATTCACAAGGCGATCAAGGCTTAGGAAGTCACAAGTGTGTGAAACCTGCATTCTTTTTTACTTCATTTTCTCTGGTAAGATGGTTAGTTGCCCATCAGTCTCGCTTATGCTATAGTGAAACACAACTCCTTTTCAGTTAATGTTTTTGTGCTCATTCTTTAGCTGTAATCAAGAAGGTAGCAGCTCTTCCAGTAGGATATTTCTTCTGTATATTTTCCAAAGACTGGCCATGCAGTCACTAAACATGGATCAGAGGGAGGTTCATGGAAATTATAAATGAACAGTCAGGAGAGAGTCTTTTGTGGCAAAATTACAGGAATGTCTCCTCAGGTCAAAGTCAAAGTAAGGATGAATTAACTCCCGAAGCAATTTGGAAAAGGTGAAATTCAATGATATTGCAGTTGTTGGACCAGGTGTTAAAATGTTATTGGGTGTTAATTTAATTTTCATCCTGTCAACACTCATCTGAACTGTAACAGCTGCTAAACACAGTTCCACAAGAGCAAACTATCCTCACAGAGGAAGCAGATGCCTAATCAATAGGGCCAATAGAAATGTATGGCTCAGCCAAGCAACACACACAAGGGGGAATGAATCCCATAGGGCTGTGTCTAACCTGAATGAAAAAGAACTTTAATGATGGTGAGACTATTGAAGCAGTAAAAACAAGAGACTGAAAGTCCTGGCTTGGCTTCCTATTGACTCATTTTTTTTTTCTTTTTTTAATTCTGCATGACCTTGGATGGGGCAATGCCTTAGTTTCTCTGTCCCCTGAGCTTGCAGAGGTATTGAAATGTTTAAAATCTATTGTTATTTTACTGCTATTATCATTTCACAGGTCTTACACAGTTCCGAGTAAAAATCACCTTTTCTTAATAAAATGTAACTTTCTTGTGCTTCTAATATTAAAAAAAATAATAATAATGATGTAGTTATAGTTGACAGCTGTCCTTCCTTGAACCCTAGGGTAGAAAGGAATAGATGACTTTTTATTGACAAAGGAAATTTTTAGATTTGAATCGTTTCTTAGGTATATAATTTAAAACATGCTCAGATATGTTATCTCCATTCTGGAGATTTTCAAATAGAAAGTAGATTTTTACGTTTATACCAAATATAATCATACCTAGAAACTGTGGTTTGATGATATAACCCTTAAGGTCAATTACAGCATGCATTTAATAATTTTCTATAAGCTGTTGTGTTTCATAGAGAAGGTAACCTTTGTTTATGCATCTCTGACTTGGTTATGGATCCCTCTGAGTGCATGTGGTGGTGTGGGGCTGCAATATTACCAAAAGGTTTGTGAATTTTGTTTGTTTGTTTATTTGAGAAGGAGTTTCATTCTTGTCACCCAGGCTGGAGCGCAATGATGCAAACTCAGCTCACTGCAACCTCCACCTCCTAGGTTCAAGTGATTCTCCTGCCTCAGCCTCCCAACTAGCTGAGATTGCAGGCACCTACTACCATGCCCAGCTCGTTTTGTATTTTTAGTAGAGACAGAGTTTCATCATGTTAGCCAGGGTGGTCTGGAATGCCTGACCTCAGGTGATCCACCCGCCTCAGCCTCCCAAAGTGCTGGGTTTACAGGCGTGAGGCACAGGTCCCAGGCAGGAATTTTTAATATGAAAATAAGTTGGTATTTATTTAAATAAGTAAAATGAAAATTTTACATGAATATTAATGCATTTTTCAAACAGTTTGAAAGTTGAGATAGGCCCTTTGGCCTATATGTAGACACTTGGCCAAGAGAGACAATTGTTCTCTCTTGAGGGGTCATCAGGGGAGAGGTTCTCTGTGGCTACTTACTAGGATGTTCTCTTGAAGGAGAGCGCTTCCATTTTCCTGGACTTGATAAACGTCCTACCAACCAAAACAACAGCAAAACACCTGTCTTTGACTTAGAATTTCACAGTGCTTCTATTATTCCTTCTCTTCTGCTCTCTACTCTTGCAGAAAGTAAAATATTTAAGGAGGTATGCAGTAGAAGTTATTTCAGAATATATAGAAGCAGTAATCTGGTGCCTTCATGACAAAAAAAAGATTAATTTTTAGAAGATAAAATAATTGTGGCATTTAGCCTGATAAACTGGTCCCCTTTTATTTTTTTCGGAGATAGGTCAGTTTTTATTAGTGAATATTCAAAAGACCATCGGATGCATACTGAGGATTCTTTATCAAAAAATTCTTATTCCAAAATGTAAATTAAAATAAGGCAGGTAAGAGGAACAATGCCAAGCTTTAAAGCGAACAATCATTTTGAAACGGCTCTTTGTAGCTCTTGTAGAAAAACAAAAAAAAAATAAGGTCACAAATTGTATTTCTTAGCATTTAACTGAAACTGTGGACAAGAGCCATCATTCGTTGTGTTTAGTATGACAAGATATTAAATGATTTTCCTTTTCTGTTAGGTATTTGAAAAGCTTAAAGTTTGGCCCAGGACTATAACATCAGAAATTCTTCATTTCTACCTCTCTCATCTTTCTTCTTTGCCCCCCTTTTCTCCTTACTAGTGGGAAATAAATTTAGATGAAACAATTTGATGAATGGATTTTGAGCAATTTTAGTGAAGAAATATGTACTTACAGGTTCAATTGGGTTTCTAGTGTATTAACACATTATCAGAGTCATTTATAACCTGTATTCTTATGGCTGTAAATGAATTTCATCATATAATTTATATAAGAAAGATAATAGATTGATGCATGTTATTTCCTTACCTTCACTAATTAGGTTATTACTAAATGAGATCAGCTAAATTCTGAAGCTTTTAATGGAAAATTGATGTAGCTATTGTGAGCCCTGGAAATCTTATTTCTTTGTTCTATCAGTATAATATGTGTATAAGGATTCATCACCAAAACTTGATATTTAAGTCAAATGAAAGGGTATTTTTACTATAGTGATCAATCTTATGCAATTTATAAAAATTTGGTTTTAAAACAAAGTTCATAGAGAAATCAATGTTTCACCTTTTCTCTTATAACCAGATGGCGGCTGGGGAGTAGACTGCTTACAATGTATTCATTCTATTCTCAATGACTTCACTGCAAGATGAATAATTTCAGGGGCCACTTTGTCTTGACTATGCTGTTTAGTAACTAGTGTGATTGTTTGTACTGAAAAGAGAGAATGAAGAATATAACAAATGAGAAACAAAGGAGGAAACAGGGCAAAGGCTATTAACTCATTTGAAAATAGCTGTAAGATTTAGCCGTGTGCTAAAGATTTAACAGGTTGGGATACATCTTATTCAGGGATGTAGTGAGGAGCAAATTACCAAAACTTTATTTGTTTTTGTTTATAGTATTTATTTGGGGTTTGGGGCTTATTCTATATCTTCTATATAAAATTATAATATATCTATATTATATCTTCTGATATAAAATTATAATAATGTGACTTTCACTACTGTTGTTATACAAATGCTCATTGCTGTTCTTCAAGGAAACCTCAAAGAATTCAAATATGCTACTTAATATATGCACTAAAGTATGTTCACCCTTTGAGTGTTTGCTCAAATATTATCATGGCTTATCTTCTCCAAATATGGGTAGGTCTCCACTTTTCTAACATGTATAATGAATTATTTAGTGTTTGTCTTCCTTGATGCACTCCCATGCTTGTCACTGTAGTTGGTATGGTACATTAGGAATTGAATCAGATAACAATCATCAAATACTCCTTTATATTTATTTGAAAAAACTTATCCACATTTGTTAGTTGCATTGGAGAAAACCAACACAAAGAGATTAAGATTTGCTCACGATCTCCTGAATCTATAGAATCCTCATTTACTCATTGAATTTTATTCTAATACTCTTCTTAAGGTAATACTATAATCCTTAAAGTTAAATGTAGCCTATGGCTAAAGAAAGCTGAAAGCTAAGGCATACATCTAAGCACAGCTCTAGAATTAAGAAAATGCTAGGTCTTACACTAATCCCGCCACTAATAAGTTCAGAGAAGTTACTCGTATAAGTATGTTTATGAATTATCTCCTGAAAAGTTGTTTTCTTGTTTTTTAATTCTAACAATGTTTACTGAAGCTGTTTTAAAGTATATTTCCAACAGATGTGGTACAATATGGTTGTTTGAGAATGTGATACATTCCTTTTTCCTCGTAGCATTTATCACTACCTTAAGTTTATCTATCTATCTATCTATCTATCTATCTATCTATCTATCTATCTATCAATCTATCATCTGTCTGTTGAGGAGTTCCCCCCTCCTTTGCTTCATCTAAAATGGAAGCCTCATGACAGCATGAGAAGAAGGACTTTGTCTGTCTTTCATTACTGTATCCCACCTCTAAGAACAGTGCCTGGATCAGCAATGGTACATAGATAGCATTGGGTTTGTCAGCAAGTGAATGAAGCATAAATGTATGTCATCAGTACCAGCTTTATAGCTTAGCCTCAGTCTTAGTGAACTCTATGACCTAACTTAAGTGACCCTATTGATACCCTTGAACCACAACTTTGATAACAGTTCTGGTAGTATCTTTATTCTGCTTTTGGCTTTATTTCTTCACTTGTATCTTTTGTCCAAATGAATTAACTATTTGAATGTATTGTTGCAAAACATTAACGTAGAATCTCCTTCCACTGTTATTGTAGGATTTTAAGGTTGTGGGATTCATTGTTGTTTATAGGTAGAAGTTTTATAGAATAGACAAATCAATGATGATGACTTCTTAAGATGCAGTATTCAAGTTCAGAAATCTATACTCAGATAAGTTTACACAGGTCATCTGCTTCTCAGGTTTATCTCGCCAGTGGTAACTGAAATATGAATATATGATAGTGTAATGAATAACTAGTCTCTGAGAAAGATAAACTATTTTGTGGAATAGCAGTCACTCAAATATAAATGAATAGCTTACTCTAAGATATAATTATTACTTATTACTGTAATTTGATTTTGACTTCAAATTCCAAACCTGAGCCTCTTACTTATCCTGTATCTTCTAATATTATTAGAAGTCTTTTAGTTTCCTAGAAATTAAGGCTTTGTTCCACACACAGATATTGAAAATTTATTTAATGGGCCAAGTGACTGAAGTGTTAATTTCTATCTTTTGAAATATCGCAACAGTCATGTAAATATGGCATGTTTTTAACAAGTGAATTTGGAGTGGATTTTATCGAACAAAATCTATTCACAGCATGTGGCTGGTCTGTAAATCCTGGCCCATTGTAGTAGAATGTGTGTTGGTTTGCAGATGTAAGGGAAAAAACTGTAATTCACTGCTATGCTACGGTAGTAATAAGTTCTTAGAGGGAGAGCAGGCTAAAAATAATTCATTGTAACTGGCCTCAATTTCCAAAGACATTTCTGAATTCTATTTAGAACATAGCCATTGATTACAAAGTGTGATCTGAGAAAGCAAAAGAGGCCAACTTTCCTGCAAACAAATTAGAGATGCATATTGACTGTGGGGAAGTATGTCATCACTGAGAAATCGAAAGCAATGGGACTTTAGGAAATCAATCAGCATCCAAGTCAAATTAGATTTTTTTCCCCTCATACTTGCTGAAACTCTATGCAAATTGTATATATTTTCAGCAGATACAAACTTTTTATTTTTAGAAAAAATACCCAGTTCAACGAAATAAATGGAGGACAGTTACAGGTTCTAGTTCATTCATATTGCATATTTTCAGAGCCTGAATAGAACACAGAAGGCCCTTGGAATCCTATGTAGGTGTATATCATCTTATAATAATTTTTGTCCCAGTAACCCATTTTTCTTAATGGTCTAGTTTGAATGCCTTTTGGGAAGACATGACTCTAATCTGAGGCCAATAACCAGCTTGCCACATTTATTTTGACCTCTCTTGGGGGCCTAAAAAATGTGTGTATCTTTTCTATACATAAAAAGACAATAGTACTACATGCTAGTCAGTTCTACTTGATGCTCTATGCTCATGAGGTCAAGGTCATTCTCCTATCTGAAATGATGATAGGAAAATATTTTTAAAAGTACAAAATCAAATAATGAAATCAGTCAGATCTCAAGTATGTGATCATTTGTGGAAGCATATGTATATCCTCACAGAGCATGGTGTTACTGGATGCTACTTGTTAAGATAATAAACCAGAGTCCCTATTGTTTTTATTCTCAACATAATGATATGGAATATTCTTCAGACATCTTTAAAACATTTTTAGAGAATTAAAAACCTATCCTCTAAATATATCAAACAATGGTTTGGTTGATAAAATGGGTTGAAGTGAATCTTAAGTCAGTATTAATTACTCGTGCATTTCATTGTGTACTTGTGTAAGGCCCTGTGGTAGCTGCAATGAAGGATATCAAAATGCATTTGCCACAGTGTTTATTCTCAAAGAGATTATCCTTTAATACTGTGTTCAGTTAATACAATCTCTGTGGATTTTTTTTCAAAGAGCTGAAAACATATCCTATACATATATTAATATACCCTATACATATATTAACTGACTTACTGTCCACCTGAATTCCATTTTATCAGCGTAAGATGTCTGATAAAATGTCCATTTTCTTTCTATAAGTGACCTAAAACTATAAAAGTGAAAGTATTTAAAATACTTTCTTTTCATTTTACCAGATAGTATTAGGGATATTAAAAAAAGAAACAAATATTATAGATTTTACAGAATATAGATTTTATGATTACAAAAACGATATATGCCAAGAGTGAACAATTTGGATAGCATGGATTTACTAAAAAAATAAAAAATAAAAAATAAAGAAAATAAAAAACATTTACAATTCCACCACCCAATTATGAACACTATAAACACAGAGATAAGTCAGTCTTGACAGCCATTGTCAAAGTTTCTCCAGTTTTGTTTCAATATTACAGGGTAAATGCATACTATATCTTTCCTTTCCAGCTTCCAAATCTCAGCAATAGAAGATATTGTATAATGAGTAAGTACATACATATTGGTAAAAGCAGTGGGAAAAAGTTATAATTATTCCCTTGAAAAAATTATAAAGAAACAGATTGAAGAAAGAAACATGAACACAGCAATACATGGGAGGGGCCAGCTATGAAAGGTGGAGATTGCTCAAGGAGTGTTCCTCAAACAAGATCCTGAAATAGCCCTCTTCATTCCCGTCTTGGGAGATTTATCTGCCTGTAGCTAGGAGCAGTGAGAGTTTCAAACTTTTTTTCCCTATATGTAAAAATATATGTAACTATATTTCCAGAGTATTTTCAAAATAAAAATCATTACTATAACATACATACCATTTTGTAACTTATCTAACAATTTAGTGTATAAAAAAATCAACTTGCTTACAAAATCATAAACAGTGTAATTAATTTATTTCAATAATTATTAATTTTTTAAACAATGCTGCATTGAACATCCTTTCAGTAAAATCTCTTATTTGCCTTTTTAAATACATGTTTTGATAAATTAAATTTTAGTATTATTTTATAAGTAAAAAAATGGAATTTTGATTAGATTTGCTTTAAATCTAAAAATTGATTTGTAGAAATGTCTAAATCTTTGCAACATTTAAACTTATATATGGTAATGTCTCTATTCAAGTGCTTATATTATTCAATGCTTCTGAAGCTTTCTTCACTTTAATCTTAAATATTCTGGAGAAAGTTTATTCATAAATATTTTTTGTTGTTTGTAATTATAGTTCTTTTTAATTTTCTAAGATATATATATTTAAGTTACTGAGTTTTGAATATTTATTTTTAACTATTTTAAAAATTATCTTGTTGGTTTTAACAACATTTTTTACTTGTCTATGTTCATTATAGTTCTTCATATACTTTCAGGGTTTTTTCTGATTGCCAATGTTCTTTTTCCCCCAACAAGCATCCTGACTCAAGCTGTATACATTTGCAATATCTGATTTTTAACCACACACTCTTCATCCTATTGACCCAAAGTGAAAATTGATACTCTTATCTGAAGGACTGTTCCCTTGAGTATATTTAAACCAGACCAATCTCTGTGTTTAATCTGGGTTCATCAGGAACCATTAGCCTTGATTGGTTTGTTTTTCTCTCCCTCCATCTCAGGACTTGATTCTATTGAGTTAACAACTATTCTCCCCAGAGAACAGCTACCGCAAGCCTGTTTCAAGTAATTCCAATATCTCGCTCATAGAAATTGAACTGATGTTTTTTTCTTTAGTTTTATGTGAAGAACTGCTGTAATGAATTCTGCATTTGTTCAGATCGTTGAAGATCTGTGAAAACAGTTACTCAAATCTCTATCATGTTAGAATGTTATTTGCCATTGCTCTGTTCTTCATTGTTGAATAATGCAATTCAGTTAAAAAGAATAAACATGTTTACTGACGACTCATGTTGATATCCAATAAATCCTGATTAATCACAATTTGACAAGCTTGCAATTTCTGGTACTTCAGGAAAGAACTAGGTATATGTTTATCTGTGCAAAATATCAAAAAATGCATTAGTAAGCAATTTAGTAATGTAAATAAGACTGTGGAAGAATTATTAGAGCAAACTATATTTTGTTTAAAATATTATGGCATAACACATAACTCAGAAAATAATACAATCTATTGAAGTCTTACAAATTGCAATCTGTGAGGCCCATCATAACTTTTATAAGAATGCTTAATTACATTGTGCTGCTGATATGCAGAACCCACATCTAAATACAGTTAAAACTTTCATCTGAATTTTTGAACATAATTTTGAGGGGTTTCTAAGTAGAAAAATTATCGTATTATTTTTCAGATCCTATAGTTCTTTTTTTTATTGCATTTTAGGTTTTGGGGTACATGTGCAGAGCATGCAATACAGTTGCATAGGTACACACAGGGCAGTGTGTTTTGTTTGCTTTCTCCCCTTCACCCACATTTGGTATTTCTCCCCTGGTAATCCCTCCCCACCTCCCAATCCCACTGGCCCTCCCCTTTTCCCCCTATAGACCCCAGTGTTTAGTACTCCTCTCTCTGTGTCCATGTGTTCTCATTTTTCATCACCCGCCTATGAGTGAGAATATGCGGTGTTTCATTTTCTGTTCTTGTGTCAGTTTGCTGAGAATGATGTTCTCCAGATTCATCCATGTCCCTATAAACGACACGAACTCATCATTTCTGATTGCTGCATAATATTCCATGGTGTATATGTGCCACATTTTCCCAATCCAGTCTATCATCGATGGGCATTTGGGTTGATTCCAGGTCTTTGCTATTGGAAACAGTGCTGCAAGGAACATTCGTGTGCATGTGTCCTTGTAGTAGAACGATTTATAGTCCTTTGGATATATACCCAGTAATGGGATTGCTGGGTCAAATGGGATTCCCATTTGACCCAGATCCTATAGTTCTATCTCTACTTTTGAACATCTGTGACTCATGACCACGAGTAAATATTTTACCTCTTCTGAATCTGCTTATCATTTAAATAAAAATACATCATTGTGCATATTTCGTAGAGTTGCTAGTGAGCATAACAAGCATGAATCTGAAAGCTATCTTGAATATCATAAGTCAACAATAGACTAAATACTGATTAACATGTTCTGGATTCCTCTTATTGTAAATTTGCGAAATAATTTTGTTTTCAATTTTTGAATTTTCTATGGCAAGGAGCACAATGGCTTGTGCTAGCTTGTCTATAAAATTGTAATTGTTATGAAACAGCTTTGATAATTGCCTCAGCTTCAATATTCTGAAAATCTTCAGTTTCACTTAAAATATTAGAACAAGTGGTTATTCGTGAATACATATTACTGATATGTTGAAAGAATAACAAGATTTCTTCTTTAAGCTCTCAAACTCTTTCCATTCTATAAATTAAACACATCAGTAATAGTTAAGAGTGAATTCTGATACACTGTCATTTATCATTATACTATTATTGCACGACCTTTGGATGTGACAAATTTCAAATTAGTAGAAGTTATTTTCCCAAACAACCACAAGGAGAATCTAATATGATAGACTGATATCATCATGAAGGTATTAATTCCAGAAACTAGATGGATGGAGGATGTATTTTAGTGAATGTCATGATAGGCAGGCAGTGTTGGAGGATAAGATGCCACCTTTCACCTCATGTCACATTTCACCTTAGTGACCTTGGCATTTATAGACAGTACCAGGAAGAAAGGGAAAGGGAAGCAGAACCCTCTTGACTGCTTTGAAGTGGCAAAATTATGTTTCTGTTCTGAGAAGAATGGAGTTATGGTTACATTATATTGAGTTATAGAAAAGAAAAACCACAATTTTTTGTAATTGAGTTTGAAGTTATTGTACCAGGTACACTTAGTCTTCCTATTTTGATGATTGTGTTCTCTTGCTAACATGGCATTCACCTTAGTAACTCATTGTTATAAACATAAATCAGAAAGATGAGGAAACTGGTAAATTGCATCAGCCTAACAAGTTTCCTTCTTGTTTTTATTTGACATATACTGAAGTTATCTGCAAGTGATGTCTTGGTTCTCTCTACCTTCTATAGTTTTAATGTCAAGAAAAATTTATTTGCTTTCTTTCTTCTTATTCCCTTGAAGTGGTAGAAAGTAACTTTATTCATAAATAAAATCTCCCTAGGTAATAATGTTTTGGTTATAAAATATGTTTAACCATTGGCAACTCCTAAATATCTCTCAACAAGGAGCTTTAAGGCAGTAATCTGGCTGCAAGTGGTGAAGAGGGCTGCATTTGTAAAGATGGCACACTGGCATATTATGCATTATTTGGAGAGAGATAATGGGAAAGTTAAGGTTTACTAATCACCTCCCCAATAGCACCCATAGATATGCTCTTGGTGGTACAAACTTCACTGATTAGCCCTCCTTGTATGTCGCCTTCTGCTTATTGCTTGCATATTTTATTTAATTGCTTGTTCATTTGCTTTAAATTTGGTCAAAAAATTGCAGATGATGATTCTCAGTGGTTTTATGTTGAGAAATAGGCTGATGAAAAAAATTCATACACAATTCTTAGATGTGTTAGATTGTGGCTTCTATGTAGAAACCACAATAGCAGAAATAAGAATTGAAATCTTTTTGATCTTTCATTTTTATTTTCAAGCTATCTTAAATTATATCCCAAGAGGAATTTTGGGATCTGCCTTTCAGTGCTTTGTGCATTCCTGAATCCAGCTCATACCCTCATTTTTGACTTGAAACACAAGCATACCAATGCATTTAATTTTAACATGGAAAGATAGCATTTCCCTATTGCTGTGCTTGTCTTCTGTAATTCCAAATTCTAGGCAAGGATATATAGTAAGTTCTGGAAACCATGTGACTTAGTAAAACTGATTTAACCCTTTAAATGAAAATACTGAGGATTATGGTCCAAATAGTAGAACGTTCCAACTTGTACAACCAAAAGTATTCATATGATAAATATCTATTAAACACATGCTATCAAAAGAGCACTATCCTAGAAATAAAGATGTGATAGTAAAAAACACCAACTCTCTGTTAACATGTTCAGATTCTAGTAGAGTGAACAGACAGCATATAACTGATCATTAAGATTGATGGTCAATCAATGTTTTTCTGAGAGGTCAGCATTTAAGCTTATTATTTAAATCATAAGGAGAATATTTAAATAATAAGGTCCTTTGGTAAAGCTCTCCCACACAATCTTCACATGGCTATATTCTGGTCATTAGACAGCCAGAAATTTCAGTGTTTCAGGGCCTATTGGATGAATGTAACAGCAGCATGAGAGAAAAGGGTTTAGAGAGGTAGGTGTGGGCCAATATTATGGGTCTCAGAGAAATTAGACTTCATTCTAGTAGCAAACTGCAGGGCATCAGGAGCATATAGTGATTTGTTTGATGATTTAAAAATATTGCTCTTTTTATAGTATAACACCAATGATGAAATGATGTGATATTTGGAATTTGTTAAAAGACATTTGAGGAGCTGTTGGGAAGGTAAAGTGAGTGAGGTTTAGTGAAACCAGATTAGCCATGAGTTTGATAGTCGTTACAGTTGGACACATAGAATTTATTATATAATTCCTTCTACTTTAGGTATAATTGAAAGTTTTCATAATACAAAGGTTTAAAATATATAAAAACATGACTTTCCTCCAGTATAATAAGCAATCCAGTTCCCAGATTTGAGTCTGTAAATACTAGCCCTTATGGATAGATACACTGCTGGGGAATAGTGCTTGGGAACATAGACTAATAGTGCCATTTACTGAGATAGGAAAGACAGGTCAGTGAATTGCAGCTTGGAGGGGGTATTGGAAATCAAACGTTCAATTTTGGACATGCTGAGGGCAAAATGTTTGTTAAATATCCAGGTGAAATAATCAAGTAGATCTAATGTCCACATGAACCTTGAGTTCAGAAAACAGGTAGTGCTGTAGCTGGCATTATTTGTTCACAAGTATTTGTCCCCTCCTCTCTCTTGCCATCTTTATATGCAGAACATACTTCCTATCCCACATGAATGGCTTTGGGTAATAGACTATGAGCAAACTTGACGTTTGCTGTGTGCAACAAAAAGCTTTAAATTTGCTTGCACGTTTTAGTTTGGCCCCTTTGTCTTGTCCTCCACAATGAAAGTGATACTTCTCAGTGATTCTCTGATCCTTAAGCCTAGCATCTGGGCAGAGAAGACAAATGACATCAAGCTGTTCCACTCAAGGCCATTCGAGTTGTAGCACTGGAGTTCTGTGCTGAAGAAATACATGTCGAAATCCACTATGCTACATTTATTTGTTATCCTAGAAAAGCAGACTTACACAGTCAAGGAGGTAGATAGAGGTTTGGAAGTGATTGGCTTATTGGTTGTCTTTAAAGCCATTGGACTAGATGAGATGATCTAAGTGAGATGATAATCTATTTTTTTTATGTTGACAAATGAGCTCAACAGAACAAAACAAATCAACAAGCAAAAATTGCTCTAAATTAAGAAGTTCTTGAAAATATATGGGTAAAATAACACTAGTTTTCATTCCCCTAACAGTTAAGTTACATTTCAAAAATTCACAAATGAGTACTTTAAATAAGCACTTAAGAAATATTCCTTCTTGATTTATATGCCAATCAAACAAAATGTGAAAGGCCCTACTCAAATTAAATATCACCATAAAAGAGAAATTTCTGATAATTTTTTAAGTTTTGACAATCTAGCTGAAATTGAAGAAAGTTATCAGTTGGAATGAGTTGACCCTATTCTATCCTAAAATCAGTCACTTGCTTTAAAACATAATAAACATGATTTTAAATTGTATTGTTTCCTGGTATAAATTTCTGTAACAAAATGTATTAAGCTCTGTTTTAATTAGATGAAATAAGGAATTTCTAAATTGATGATAAATGTTGCTTTAAAGTGCATATGGCATTGCACTGCTGGTAATTTGTTAAATTATTATAAAAATTGTATACTTCTACAATAATTTGCTTTTTATTTAGGGTAAGGGTTCTGTCATAAACCACTCACTTG